ACAAAAACATGGTTTTGCCAGGGTCTTATGACGTGTGTGTGGTCAATAATGTGGTTTAAGATAAACCCACGCTCTGCAAATAAATAGGAAGTTGACGATGCCGACTTTATTGAGAGATTATTATAATCATTTTCTTCCTTTTTGACTAGGGCATGTAATATCGGAAGGTTTTCAATTCCGATATTGGATTCCGATATTATATCTTAATATTGGATTCCGATATTATATCTTAATATCGTAATTCCGATATTAATATCGGAATTGAGTTCATGTGCTCTAAAATTAATATTTGGTTATATTCGTAAGAATTTTGGATTGTTTACAATAAAAAAATGATTTTAATCAAAATCTTTAATTTGGTACAAAACATCACTTTATAAAATTGAAGTAGGCTTATTTTAAAACAATTTTTACGTTATGGGTATCCATTGCATTTGGTTTTTTATGTGACAAGCGGCAAACGAACAGACGGATCACCTGATAATGAATGGTTACTGATAATGAGCCTATATGGACTAGCAAATAATTAAAGTGTTTTTGTAAAATCACAGGTATCAAACAAACTTTTACTCCTTCATTATATTACCCTGTTTTATGTTGGCGGAACGAATTTTAGAGTCATTCAAATCACGTGTTACAAAAATCGTAGAGAGTGTAAAAAATCTTGAATATGCTTGTAATTTGTTCCTTTTTGATTATCGTTGTACAACTCACAAAACCACGAGCCATCATCATCATCATCATGTCAGCCATAGGACGTCCACTGCTGAACACAGGCTCCGATGCTGATTTTCACAATGGCCGGTTGGTGGCGGCCTGCATCCAGCGCCTTCCTGCTACCTTTATGAGGTCGTCGGTTATGAGTGCTACGCTGTGCTTTCCGGTACGTGGCCTCCACTTCAGAACCTTGCTGCCTCATCGTCCGTCTGTTTTGCGTATTAAGGCAGAACCGTTGGAAGACCTTATCACAATGCTCGAAGACCTTAATCGAGTTTCCCAACAGGTAGGCTTTCGGATGAATATGGAAAAAACGAAGCTTATGTCGAATGTCCATGTTGCTCCTTACCCAGTTTCGGTTAGGAACTCGATTCTCGAGATTGTTGACAAGTAAGTATGTCCATCTCGGACAAACGATTAGCTAGGTAGTTAGATGCAATTTCGAGAAAGAGGTAAATCGTCGAATATGAAGATGAAATTCTTCAATTAGGCAGGGCACATAGTACGCAGAACTGACGGTCCATAGTCCAGTAAAATTAATGTTTGAAAGGGAGTTGAGATGTCGTTCTTTGTTGACCAAGTACCTATGGCAATTGCTAAAATTGATTTAGAACAAGTTAAATTAACCATAAATAGTAAAGATATTAAAATATTTGCAGTGGGACAAAAAGTGATAGTGAGAGACATGAGAAAATCATTGGTCTTTGCCAATCATGTACTTTGGGCTTTGTGGCAGGTTGTGGCGAGTTTAAACGCTTTGTTTAAAATCTCAATTAAAACTTTTATCTGATTCCGATATTACGATATTGGGTCGCTCAATATCGGAATTGAAATATCGGATCTCGCAGTCCGAGATTCCGATATTACGAGATTCCGAGATTCCGATATTCATGCCCTATTTTTGACCAAATGTAAACTAATAAATGAACTCAGGCCAAAATCTATCGACCCCAGAAAGAATTCAATTGGTAAATGACCAATTGATTTAATTCTTTACCAGTCAATGTATCTTGGGGAGCTTTCAAGAATATTTTAGCTGGTAAATGGAAGTTAGCTTTGTATGTAATCATAAATAAATATCTAATACTGACGACTGAGTACCTAACATAAAATCATATCTAATTTAACTTAAAATTGGTCTTAATGGCAATGGTCGCAGCAGTCAAATTGTGAAATATGGAAATCTAGCCCAAGGATGTCTGCTCGACGTGGCTAGAATCGGCTAGATTAAGAACTTCGACTTCGGTTAGCAAAGCCAACGTCAATTACGTGGCTTTTTGCTCATTAGCATACTTACCTAATATTGTGTCCTTTCGGCGATTAAATTGGCTATGAAATGCACTTGCATGGACTTGACTCTCGGATCTTGTCTAACCAGATTCTAAAACTAAACTTGGAGTTGACTGGTTGGGTTATGTAAGGATAATAAATACTAAAGCCTAAAATGTTTGTTCGTAATAATCGCGCACACTTAAGTTCATAACCGATTTTTTTGCACATTAACGGTTCATTTACTTGACATTCGACCTTGTTTATCTTTAGTAGGTACTTAAATATTTATAGTTATTTGATTTATAGAATTAGCAAACGCTACTTGATTTATTAAATTAAATACCTAGTAATTAAGTATGTCTAGTTTCCCTTTTTACGGAATCATTATCCGTTGGCTGCATTCCCGCACATGTTTTTCAATCACTAGGTTGTTGTTGACACTGAAATTTCCATTCCATTAACCTGAAGTAGTCAAGCATGGGTTATGTCCAGCTACCGACATAAATAACTACGTACCTTATGCACTTCAAGTTCTTCCGTCAAATTGTGCACTTGTACATCATCTAATCTTACGTAATCGTTCGTACCATTACTTACATGATGGGACGATGGGACCACGGTTAGCAGAATCGCCTTGACTGTGGGTCGTATGACAATGATGAATGTGACATATCGTGCATCAACGCTCGAATTAACTACTGGCGCAACCAGTTGAACTTTAACTTCGAACTCCTCCTATGTTCTTCTGATTGCGTTGCGGATCCAATGACAGTTAAACTTTCCCCCGGGACAAACTTGACCTTCTCTAGTTGTGTTTATTAACTGTCAAGCTGTAGATCCTGGTTACACAGGAGTTGCAGTGGTTGGGAACGAGAAGTAAAAATAGTTACATACTGGCGCAAAAACTTTTTTGTTTGGCAATTGACAGAGGTCCAGCATGGCCGCAAACCTAGACTTATTGTGGCCAGATTTAGGTAATTTGAGTGCACAGGGACCTCAACTTTAGGAATTCAGCCCTGTGCTGCATTATAATTTTACAGTGATAAGTATACCGTGTAGTGTTTACAAGGCAATTAAGTCGGCTATTTACAACCCAAAGCATAGGCCTTTCGGAATATTAGAAACGTGTACCATACATTCCGGAAATCGTAAAAGCAATGGCGGATACATAAAATAAATTGATTTCTACCGCAGCTTTCTCACCAACAAAGGAAATAGAAACTGCTTCGGGGTCAGATACACTAATTACTTAGCTAGAACAAAAGATCTTGCTAACAATAGTGTACAAGCACCTGTGGACTTTTACAAAGTTCGCATATGGAAACTTATTCGCACAATAATTGAGTTGTATTCTTCATGCCATTGTCGTGTGAAATGAGAATTGGTGAGAATGGAGTGTAGTGTAGTGCAGATGTGTATGTCATTCTATGGTTGAAGATTCCGGATGAAGCTCGCTTACATTCATCCACCAGATATCACTTTCCATCAGCCGAGCTAGGAGCCTAGGATGCGTGCGCGCGTGATAAAATCTTATCGACGATTTTAGACTACAAATGTTTGGGCTTATCGCGTAAAATCGATAAAATGGCGCGATAACGTGCATCCTAGGTCTATTAGGTGGGATGCAGATCATAAACTTCCCCGTTATGGGTAAAAAATAATTTCAGAAAATGGTGGTTCAAACTGAATAAAATCAGCAAACATTTGGCTATGAAGAAACATGCGATAAATTATTACCTTTTTTTCATTCATACGACGAATTAATTCACGTAAGCAAATTCTCGTTTATTGCAAAAGCAATTTATTGCTACTTTTAGTTAATCAATGTTTTTATTAGCGTGTAAGTACCTACACGAGCTATGAACATGCAATCGCTTTATTGAAAGTGTTTATTAGTTCTGCTGTCAACAACTTAGCAACAAGTTAACACATTATGTAAGTTAACTCGGACAAACTCTATCTACAGACACTGGCAGTGCTAGCACATCAAGCTCAACACTGGCAACTTAACTCTAGTGCTTTATCTTAATTACTTAATTAAAGTAAATTAAAATAAAACATAAGTCTTAAGAAATGATTGAACCTGGGACCCGTAGTCGCACGTGACAAGTTACAAAACGTGACAGTTGTAATTCCGAAATCGCCGGCCGGTGATTTTAACTTCATAAACGAAAGTTAAAGTAAAATCTAGTATGTAGGGATTCAGTTACTTCGCCTTTGTTTTGTTACTGTGTAAGCTGTGTTTACTAACCATCTATTACTAAATGTCAACATTAACCAACCGTAAGGTAGGCGCATATGACTTGCGCGAGCTTTCCAAACAAAAAGCGTTATCTCACTTTGTTTACCAACTTTGATCGGTCAAGCGGACTCGCGACCTAGCCCAGCTGGAACAGTGAGGCTCGGGTGAAAGTGAAGCGTGGGTCAACGCTCGGATGTTATAACATGTGACCTTACTGCAGCGACACTGTGAAACTGTATCAGTAGGTAGGATTCAGTAGGCTGCAGGAAAATATAGAAGGGAGAAAACTATTCTTGTTTGAACTCATTTAACTATGAGCAGCATGCAGCATCATGGTGCCCAAACATTTCTTAAGCGTGGAACAAATGCATAAAACTGCACACCCGTCGCTATGGTCAGACGACGGGTTACCTATGTTATGTGGGGCTCTCTATCAGAAGGCCTACCACTGATACATCCAAGAAAGTCCTTCTTTCTGAGCGTAGGAAAAACCGGGAAACAAATCAAACGCTACGAAACCGTTCCTTACCGAATAGGGATAGGAAAAAGTAAAAAAATATCACGTGATATTTTAATGACTTAAATATATTTTTGTTATTTTTTATGATTGAATAATAAAACAACTATCAAATAAATTTATTTGATAATTAATATAAATATTAATTGTAAAACACAATTAATATTTATATTAATTGTAAAACACAATTAATATTTATATTAATTGTGTCTCATTTCGCCTATAAATCATACCTCTTTTGTTTTGTTACAGCGATGAAGAAGACACAGCGAGGCTGCTGCGGCAGCTGAGTCGGATCAACAGGCCTCTTGGAGTCACATTCCCGCAGATGATCAAACTAATGAGTCAGTGCCAGCAGGTACTTATATGGGCTTTTATTTGGACTAAACTGATTTGCATGTTCATGTATTTTTAAAAGTCTAGTATGAAATATTAAACTACAGAAAAAACGTTCAACGATGAGTTGTGGTAAAACGAGCAAACTCCCAACTAAAATAGTTGTGATTAGTAAATATTTGATATAATAACGGACTGTTCATTAATAATAAATAACGAATTAGCAGCTACATAACGATGTAATGTTACATAAAGCAAAAATATATCGCAATAACTGTTTAATGCAATTAAAGAAACAGCAGTTAACCTGTACTATGCGAATTACTTAAAAATAACTAAACACGCGTCGCAGTCACTTACAAAGACTACTTATTATGTGTAATTATTTTTTATATGTATTGGCACTTATCAAATTACTGTATAACATTATAATGTGTCATTCGTTTCGTAATTATTGCTAAAACTAAAATACGACTCATTAAGCAACGTTTTTAAATAGATAACTAATGAAATAATTAACAGTGCGTATGATAATAATAATATAATGATTCGTATAATATACATAGATGTTTCGCATAATATAGATTTACCGGGTTAACAATATAGGTTTATTGTTTATTGATGTGGCAAGCGTTTATTACGAATTCAGAGCATGTAAGAAAGACTTCAAGGTAAACGAATAGACAAAGGCCTAACGCCTCGTAATGCTATTAGATTTAGTAGATGTTGTATAGCTGAAAATAATTTGTACAGACGATAACACATCAAAGTAAATATAATTAGTAATTTTAACAGACCAGGTGTTATGTCCACGAACGTATTTATTTATTTGCATGTTAAAGTGTAACTAGTTTGATATGCTGTCGAATATTCCTATGTATTTACGAGTAGGTAGAAAACATGATCCAATAGTAGTGACTCGTAGAGCTTCGTAGCCTTAGGAACTTTCCCTGTGCGTTCAGGGAAAATTGTGAAAGTTAATAGCATTTGCAACCAAGTTAGTACCATAGCGTTCCGACCCATATCAGCGTGTTCTATAATTTATGGATAATTTAATAACATTGGGTTAACAGAACCGTATGGTGACGACAGAGTAAAATACATTTGTCACCAACCCCTACTCTTTTCACGGGTGTCTAAGAGGCGACTTAGGGACTACATATCAAACAGAACGGGCAGCAGCGCTCTCTGAAAAACATCAATCTTTTAAACTGCGATCTCCAACCCGCCTGCCAAGCGTGGGGATTATGGCAAAACCCTCCACTATAGTGGAGGAGGCTCATAGTCCAGCAGTGGACTGTAAAGGGCTGTTGATGATGATGATGAACAATTTCTTCGCTTAGAGATGTATTTATGTTGTTTGAAAGATTTAGCAATTTTTGTATCCAGAGAAGAGGGTAACGAAAGTACCTACTAAGTATTATACTGATAAATTATATTGATTGCACTTACAGGGCAGATAGACTGCATCCCACTTAACATCAGGTGCGATTGTGGTCAAATACCTGCTTTGTTATGCGTAAATAGACAACTGTATTTTTAGTAATCAGGTAACCAGGTAACTTTTTAATTGCTCGATTAATTGGCAATAATCTAAGTCTTCGGTACCGACATTTCATTACTTTTGGGTTTTTGCTTTAGTTAGTCATGAATACTTTTGAGGTCACTTATGATTTGATTTCTAAGAACATGCAGCTAACATCAAGGTTAAACATTTTTGCAACATTCTAATCATGCAGCCGGAAAAAAGTACCGCAATTTAGAACTCTTGGAACAGCTACTAATATCGTCTTATTGTAAAGTTGCTTATGAACAATAACATTACTGAATAATACGTACTGAGTCAATAGATCGGTATTCCATGAGGTTGGAGATTCAGAGAACGCTTATTAATTAACTACGTACCATGTAGCCTGTACTTCCAGACCTTTAAAGCATTAATTGTATTAAACATTTATTTATGCAAAACTATACAAGTCGTCTCTGCAGGTACATCCATTTTAATGGACCTAAGCTTGAATCAAATGAGAATACCTAATGCTGATACACTATAATTACCTGCTATTCATTGTTATTAATTGGTGATTGACTGCTGCTCTGACTGTTTATTAATTTTGTGTTGCAGGTGGAAGGAGTAGAGGCATCGGATGAGACGAGAAGACCGTTACCAGGAGCCATGAGGGGAGAGTGGCGGCCTGAGGGTGCCGGAGAAAACGCAGCGAGAGCCCGTCTGGACGCCGGTGGTGCCCACGCCGGATTGCTCGGTGGTAGCCCCTTGACGCTGCTGCAGGGGATTATCCCTGGTAAGTGGACAAGTCGATCGCTTAAAAAGTCAAAACTCAAAATCCATGTGGGAGTTTTCCATGCATAGACCTCAAATTACCAAGATAGGTACTTTTTATTCACTTCAATGGTTGGTTACAAATGTTTCGATACTAAATAAATAGTTACTGTTGCTTACATTTCATTCTGAAGAAGTACTAAAAAATAGAGTCAGCATTTCTATCTAAATTGAATACATAGGGCATCATAACTGTCTATTTTTATCCAACTTATTTTTTTTTTTTTGTTTTCATTTTCCGATAAAAATTATGCTAAACGAATATTCCATTAACTTACAGGTACAAAATGGTGCGGCACGGGTGACATAGCTGCTGACTACCACGACTTAGGTGCCGATCGTCGCCTCGACCGATGCTGTCGGACGCACGACTTGTGTCCCACGAAGGTGCGGGCCTTCTCCCAGCGATACAACCTCACAAACAACTCGCTGTACAGCAAGTCCCACTGCACCTGTGACGACATGCTGTTCGACTGCCTCAAGGCCACCAACACCTCGGCTTCGCACCTCATGGGCCACATCTACTTCAACCTAGTTCAAGTGCCTTGCTTAGAAGACTTCCCAGCTGGAAGACATTTCAGAGACGCTAAGCAGGGCTTTTAATTACTCATTAGCGAAATAACTTTAAGCGCCATCTAGTAGCGATGTTGTTGATGTCTCTTGCACAGAGTTTTGTTGTATGTTTGTTGCATTTGAAATCCACGTGTAAATAATTAAATTAATATATTCTTCTACGTTAACATTAGTTATCAAACTGTGATATGTCTGTGCCTTTATTAATGTGTAGACGATGGCGCTCGAAAAAATGAAAACAAATAATTTTTTAATTGTATGTTAGTTAAGAAATTAATTTATTTGTTGCAATAACTGATTCAATTTTCACGAAAAAATAAACTGTACTCTAGTACTTTACACATAAGAACTATAGTTTATCAAACGACTATTTGTAATTAATTACCAAGAACGATAAATGTGAACCAAATAAAATATATTTATTTTAAATGTTTTATAAATTCGTTTTATTTTTACTAATCAGTTGTGTTACACATGCATCAAGTTACAACTCTTTCATCTTTTAAACCTCTCCCTAATCTCCAATCGTGAACTACCCTTAGCCACATATCACCATCATTATCATATCAATGTAATTAGATAGGTAAACCAGAAAGCTGCATATCATAATGGAGAAGTTTCCATTTTTTCATATTAGTAAAACTAACCAATAATATTTATAAAAGAGTCATGAAAACATATCTACAAATAAAGAAGTTACAGATGCTAGAGAAGCTAAAGATGCGCTTAACAAATATTTCGCGCCATTCGAACGGTGACTTCACGCCACTCTTTCAGATTACAAACAGTGAATCACCCCTGCCTGGTCCAGTGCTGTCAGAGAGCAGAAATAACAGGAGTGGAACTGACAGGCAATCCCCTCTAGCAATGTAAGTAGACCAGTGGTTCACTCAGTTTATAAAAACTAGTTGCAGCGCCACCAATGACATATTCCAAATGTCACTATTGAAGAGTAACGTGCTGCGATAAAAATGGTGAATTGCAGTGTTTTTAATAGGAGATAGAGGATAAGAAGAGATCTGAAACATCAAATCTTGAAAAGGACAACATTACATTCCATCAGTAAATATTATTTTATTTATTTCACATTAATTAATACACTAAATTTGCAAAAAACTAAATTTCTAGAAGTGTTGCCACTGGAATGACTGGAAAGCAAAAATTCCTAATTGTGTAATATTTTAAGGATAGTGTACTTATAACAATATAANAATAAAAAAAAGTCAGCTTATTTATTGCCATTAAGGCGGAACAAAGTTCGCCGGGTCAGCTAGTATTACGATAAAAAAAACTCATAAAACTCATTTATTTTATTTCTGTAAATAAGCACTTTTACCTCATGCTCGACGATCAACCGACATACAAAATCGATACAAGAGCTCTCCCAAGCTATTTTAAAGCTGTATAACATGTTAAGTTTAAAACACAAGCACTGCAGCTTAGTACCAGAGCTTTCCTAGCTCCACTTATCAAGTTGCAAGCCATCTTGTTAACATATTGTCACGAGTTCACGAACTGCAGTTTTGGAAGTTAATTTCATAGTTGACTTAAGTTAATGGGTTAAACTCTGCTTCCTTGCGTAACTTTGCTTTCTAGCTGTTGTTAAGTGTGAACAGAAAATGGCATGTGACAGGTAAAGTCAATTAAAAGGCGATATACAATTAAATATCGAGCAAAAAAATGTCGCGGGTTCGAGTCTCGTCTGAGGTTATTAATTAATAAGGTAAGTATTCAAAAATTGTGTTTTAAATGGTACTGCCGCTGCATCAGCGGAATCCCTCAAGCGACGCAAATATGTAGGTCTTAGTAGTACTTACCTACATGTTTGAGCCATTTGGGGTCGAGATGCTAGGTCCGTGGGGACCAAGTGCTCATCGCCTGTACAGGGAATTAGCCAAGCGGCTGATTGACTGTACAGGTGATATAAGAGCTGGCGCATTTCTTGGCCAACGAATCAGTTTGGCCATTCAGCGCGGAAATGCAGCCAGCATTCTGGGCACCATGTCGCGTTGTTTGGACAGCGATTTGGGACATATTTTTTATTTGTAAATATTTGTAAATATTTAGTCTATGTAGGTTAATTATTTGTATTATTCTTAATTTCTCTCGCATCAAATAAGACACCTAATAAAGAAATTAAGATAATTGTCTCAAATTACTCTGTAAAGAAATAAAGTACCTAAGTTTTGTTGTCCAGTCTATTGAGACTTGGACTTCCGTCTCAGAGAATATTTTTTTCGTCTTGTTTTTTCTCAAATTTTTTTTCTAGGAGTCTATGTAGGCTACATCTTGAAGACTCACCTACATCTAATTCTCAGAAAAGATCTTAAATGTCTATGGTCAATTGAGCAGGCATTAAAAGCAAAAACAGCAGTCACAGCAATATGAAACGCATTCTTAAAATTGTATTTAAAGGGATTTACTTTTACATAATATGTATTTTTAAGCGCAAAATTACTATTAACATGACATTATAACTAAATAAGATTAATTTAGAAAAAATATGATTCAGATTTTCTAATTAGTCTTAAGCACTTGTGGGCATATTTTACCCTTTAAACATAATTAAATTTAACCTTTTACGTGAAAATAAAGTTTTAAAGGTAAGGTTAAAATTTAAAATAACATTAAGTACAACACATGCCGATGAGACTACAGTTAAAGTATAATTATTAAGGTAATTTTGTTAACATTAACAAAGACTTTCCTGATATTTTGTTTTATATTTTATTCACTTTGAACTCATTAGTATTCGAGGTAGAGACATGTAGATATTTTTAAATCCGTTAATTTGCTTTGTATGTAATTGTACTTTGANGTGCGGTATTTCATAGATAGCAATAGACTGACAGCTAACAGCTACGCACAGCTCACGCATCTCCTCTCGTCTCAGCACCGCTGCGCTCTTCTCCGCTCCGCTTTGGTGGAAATAGCCTGCCAGCTTCGTCGTACATCTCTCGTCTCCGTACCGCTCTGCTTTGGTGGAAACCGGGCCTAAGGCTGATAGTCGATCCCCTTTGCCAAGGGAGTGTGGCCGTGGGTCATGTTTGGTATATAAGAATATTAGGTACCTATTTCATGGGTAGTGTAGGGTAATGGTGGTAGGGTTAATACTGGGACGTGTAAAAGTGCTTTTTAAGAGCCTATATAAATGACTTTTTAGTTTTTTTCATATAACTCTTAACTTTCACAATTCGTATTCGTGCTAGGGAAGAAATGCCAAACTTTTGCGTATTTTCCTTTAAATAGAGATCTGAAATGTTGAATCTCCCATAGGATAATAAATTAATTCATATCATTTTTTTAAACGAGCCATAGACTATGAACCATAGAGCAATGATTCTCATCGACAAAAATATCGATAGTGTCTCAGCGCCATCAGCTGTTACACAAATGTCATTACCTCGTCCCCCTCAGGAAATGGCGAAATTTTTTTGTATGGAAATAAACGCGCGCTGCTACTCCAGCCCCCCTAGACAAAACGCACTTTTTGATCGAATCGAAAATCGAATCCGTCAAAACTCCATACAAAAAAGGGGCTTTTCGACCACTTATCGACTGGTTTGCGATTATAATTTGCACTTTGTCTAGACCCACTGTTATTTCTGCTCTCTGAGTGCTGTTGACAGATCAAATTTTTAAAATCTAGTAGGTTTTAATTTTTCAGCCAGGGTCACACAAGATTCTATCTTAGTAAAAATTTGGTAACCTTTTTTAACATAATATCCCATACCTGGCCATAATATTATTAAACAAAAAGAAGAAGAAGACTTTGACAGCGCCAGGGGTGGTAAGCATTGTGGTTGAAACTTGAATAGGTAATATTATTATGATAAATTAATCAAATACTAAAAATAATAATAAAAAATATAGTTAATAAATAAAACAAGATAACAGGTGAAATTATAAATCAGTTATTGACTACCAGTCAAAATTTGCTTTGCTATATAACAACACATTTCAAAATTCGCAGACATACATTTCTACGGTCACGAGAACGCACAGGGTTCAGGGACGAATTAGTAAGATTTTTTTAGAAAAAATGATATTAAAGTTTGAAGCCAAGTTAATAGCTGTTATTGACAAATATACTTGGCTCATACTTACAAATACTTTCACGAGTATTTTGGTCACGTAACGTACCGTCACTGGGCAACACTAGTTATTGTCAAACAAACGTCAAAATTATATTTGTCATCATCTGTCATGGTCTGTCATTTTGGTTTCCGCTGTAACACTTCGTAAAATCTTTTTTTTTGCAAAAATATCATCATAAATGTGGTGAAATCCTTGGAATGACGTTGATTATTACAAGACTCTTTAAAAATCATCTTTAGTTGTCCAAATTCCTGCACCAGAAGCGCAAAATGTCATCTGAAACCAGTGATGAAAGTAAAGGTGTGTTTTTTTACTTTGCTTCTAGCAAATTAGCCTTTAACTAGTTCCGGAGGACGTTATAGTGTTTCTGTTTCAAGTGGAGAGCGCGGAAGGGCGCCCGGGCTCGGCCCCGGAGCAGGCGCGGCGGGAGCTGGAAGAGGAGTTCAACGTGCAACGAGCGCGAATGAAAGAGCTATTCTTGCAGAAAGAAGGTTCGTCTTTCGTCCCCGGCGGTGCAGGTCTTGGGAGCATGACGTAGACATTAACAGTGTTCGTTGCGTTGCATGTCCATTTACCAATCTCATGTTTTTGTTGGTCGTCAATAACCTGGATGTTGCGTTACAAACAAGGATGCTTGGAAGCGAGCTTGATTGTAGACCCACCTTGTCCCACATGTCCTCACACTCCTTAACTTCTCACCATTTGATTTTAATGTTGGTGTTGTTGGGTGAACTGGAATTATTTAACGTTTAGCTGACCGAGTTTTGTGTTGTATATTCTTATTACAAGTATTTGGTCTCAGTTGATTCGTTACTACTCAGTGTCTTGTATTTGTGCAAAATAAATATATTTTATTATAAATAAATAAATTAATAAATACATTAATTTAATTACATACTTCACATGACCATTTAAATAAATTTATTTTAGCATAGTAAATTAAACTTATATGTATAAGAGTGTTTTGTGAAATTGTGCTAGTTGAAATATTACATAATTGTCTGTTAGGAAACTAGTTTTGTAAAATTTAATCACATTTGTAAAATGTTACAGTTTTAGGTAGAAGTATCATCAATGTGTTTTGCAATGCACTTACTTTATGTTGAGTGTATTAGAGCACTGATATTACCAAACAAAAATGCGATCACATTTAACTTCTGCATTTTTACCTACATTTTTGTGTCTTGTCCAATTTCAACATTCTTTATGCTCAGTCATTAAAACATTAAGTTTTTTCACAATTTGTGTTGATTCTATTTCTAATTAGAATTAAAAATCCAATTAGATCAACCATCCTATTTTCATCTAGTCAGATTAGTAACATAGGGTTGAAACAGACAACAGCATATACATAGATCGTTTCATTCACGAAGACGCGCCCCACAAATTTTTGGTCGAGGGAAGCGCGGGGTTGCGGGGAGTTTGATCCGAGCAATCCGAACGTCATTATTGTAGTGTGCGTGTGCACTCACGGATGATTTAGCGTGTACCGATAACACTCAAACATTAGCGGAAGAATGGTGGGGCGCGTCTTCGTGGATGAAACAATCTGTATCTGTTGACTTATAAACTTTGGAGTCACCTGTACTTCTGTCCGTTTGCAGAGGACATGAGGAAGGTGCGCCAGGAGAAGGAGCAGCTGGAGTCAGAGGTTCTCGGGCTCCGGGCCGAGCTGCAGCAGCTGCAAACCCTCAGCCACAACCAGAAGTCCGAGATACAGAGCTTGCAGCTGCTAGTCAATGGTAAACAACGTTATACAGCAGTTATTTTAGACCAAGCCCATTGTCTATAAAAGCGAAAGGTCACTGATTGACTGACTGACTGACTCACTCATTCACTCACTCACCACGAAATCTCAGAAACTACAAGTGCTAGGAGTCAAATTTTGCATGACTTACTTGACTTATGGTCCTATGTCCCCTAGATGGGGCAGAGGGCGTCCACAACAGTCCTCCATCTCGTTCGGTCTTGAGCTTCTCGCTTGATCTCGCTCCAGGTCTTGCCGATCTTCTTCGCCTCGTCCGCTACAGTGCGCCGCCAAGTTTGCCTGGGTCGACCACGTTTGCGTTTTCCTTGGGGATTCCAATCCAGAGCCTGCTTAGGGATGTGATCGGGATCCCTTCGGAGAGTGTGGCCAATCCAGTTCCACTTGCGGCGCTTCATCCAAATTTTGCATGGAGGTTCCTTTTAGAATGTAGGTGCTCACTAAGACGGGTAAAACGGCGGTTGGAAGTTTCCACGCGTACGAAGTCGCGGGCGGCCGCTAGTCTAATATAAAAATCAGCCCCACAATGTGAATAAACAAAGAAAAATACCCACAATATTATATCGCAAATGTCATTTCTGATGCCACATACAAGGCGATCCTTTCCGTAATATCAAAATGCTTGTATACAGAGTGCTTATTGATTCTCAGCCAAATTATATGTTGACACATCTAGAAATAAATTACTATCACTTATTACAGTTGTTCTGGAAAGTGTGGTTTTATTTTATTTACTATATCTACACAGCACTGAGACAAAAGCTTGTGGAAAACTAAAACATGACATTCCCCCACATGCAAACTAATTAATGGTTTGATTTAATGAGTATTGATAAATATCCCATTGATAACAACCGTGATAAAGTGATATTTTCCTTTTTATTTGTGAGCTGTTTGAGTGTGAGTACCGTGCCAGTGATGCTGCAATCATTCTGCTTAGGATGGGGCCCGAGAGGTGTGTATGCTTGTAATTATAATCTAGGCTATTTGCATTGTCTGACTCATTGTTATCATGCAAACATATAAGCAGAAAATTTGTTTGCACGATTCTTAGCACTGCAGCAGTACCTTGTCCATTGACACTTGCTAAATGTACTGATATTATGACCGCGCGCCAATTTTATGCTAGATCTAGCGGTCACCCGCGACTTCGTACGCGTGGATTCCGTTTTACCACCTTAGGGGTGGAGTTTCGTAAAATCCTTTCTTAGTGGATGCCTACATCATGACATCTACCTGCATGCCAAATTTCAGCCCGATTCGTCCAGTGGTTTGGGCTGTGCGTTGATAGATCACTATGTCAGTCAGTCACCTTTGAGTTATTATATTTAGATTCATATTTGAGCAAAACTGCAGTATCTATTTAGACAGACAGTCGGCCGTTTGGTGTAGTGGTTCGAAACGGACTACTATTCTGGAGGTAGCGGGTTCGATTCCCGTACAGTACAAACATTTGTGTGCATGAACATAATATTTGTTTGTATTGGACTGGGTGTTCTCTATGTATAATAAGTATGTATTTACAAAAAAAAGTATTTAAGTATGTTTATATCCGTTGTCTAGTCCCAAACTAAGCAAAGCTTGTACTATGGGTGTACAAGCTTTGCTTAGTTTGGGACTAGAAGCGCAGTGTAAAATGTCTAAGGATATTTATTTATTTATATTATTTGCTATTTAGACAAGTGCATCTGGACTGACTTAAGGCTTATCTCGTTTTCCATCGTTGGGAAACAAATTTAGACTGGTAGGGCGATTGCTAATAAAGGTTGATGTGTTGTGTTTCAGAGACAGTGGAGGCGTCGTCATCAGGATCGGAGGAGGTGCGGCGGCTGACGGCGCGCGCGTTGGACCTCGAGCGAGAGCTCAACCTGCTGCGACAGCAGAACCAGGTCAGTGGCTATAGGAACCAAGATACATGTACATTGGCAATCTTAGGCCCCTCGCCCGCGGCGACTTTGTAGTAGTACCACAGAATAATAATAAGTACTACGTACAGAAGTTTTACTTCGCGAAGGTATTTAAAAAAATGTATGCTCAATGTCATTAACAATATGGTGTAATTTAGCCTGTCTCAAGAATCAAGCACCATTTTGTTGACAAACGTCAGTGATCGGCACTGCGCCGAAGCTATAGGGCTGACTTCGGTAAAATGATGTGACGTGAGGTGCCAAACTGCGGAAAATGGCGGAGGAAATACATGATTTAGCATGAATTATTTATCATGAATAATATTAAATACTTATTTACCTCTCAGTGTCTTGAGGCAACTTAAAAAAGTACACAAAAGGACAGTTAAATACTGCACAGTATTTAGTGCACCATTTTCTTTATTTTCTTCCATCATACACAAGAATACTCGTGCGTGAGTCAATGTTCGCTCGTATGTGAGGCCTTGTCGAATAGTATCCTGTAGGTGGGCCATCGTGCGTGTTTTGTTTTCGATGTAAACTCGCGGAGATGAACAGGCCTGGTAGTACGCGCCACGCCATAGTCGCATTTGCAACGCACAGCATCGTGACTGTATCGATACAAACGCGCAACCGTGTCCGACGACATCGGGAAGAGAACGAAGGCAGGGTGGCGCGGCAACTGTAGCAATCGTTACTGAATCGCGTTTTAATGAGGGCTATCGTTTTAGCGCTCACCAGTTAGCGCCACTGTAGAGTAAGGTCCTGTCACTTGCTAGTAGCGAACACAGTGGCGCCAACTTGTGAGCGCTAAAGTGTTAGGAGGACTATCGTATTTGCACTCATCAAGATGGCGCCACTGTAGAGTAAGGTCCTGTCAATCGCCAGGGGTGCCAACTGTTAAGTATAAAAACGATAGCTCTCATTGCGACAGAAGTGCGACAGTATCACGTTTGTATCACGACTGAATCGTGTTTATGTGGGCGAGGGCACATAGCTAGCGACCGCATTGCTACTGCATCGCTACTAAAAGTCGCCGTGGGCGAGGGGCTATAGGTCCGGTGTCCACCAAGGCGGACTTCATTATTCAGGAAACCAGTAAATCTGGATGGTTATTCAAAGTATGTACATCTCTGCTCCGCTCTGCCTTGGTGAAATCCGGGCTTTAGGGTCTCCGCTGCGTAAAGAGGGCATCCGCGCGAGGATTCCGCTCCACGTAGCGGAGGTCTTACTTGAATAATAGAAGGTAGAACAAATTCTCCAAACAAATGCAAAAAGTTGCAAGTGTAAACTACAACCGCAATTTCTTAAAGTATTGAAAACAAAAACTGAATACATAATTTCATTTGCACAACAGCTTAAAAACACAATAAGAGTTATGGTCTAAAAGTGTTTAGAAATTCGGCTCGACTGTCGAAATTGATGTTACAAGGAATACAACCTACATACTCACAAGAAAGTATTTATAACTAGTAGTAATTACTTTTTGAACCGTGAAAGTTAACTGCCCAGACATAAAATTACTGATCCAAATCAAAATTGAGGTTTGATGGTTTAGATCGAGTCGAAAAGTAAATTTTATACCTGATTTACAACCAATAAATAATTTTATTTGCCCCTAAAAGTAGCTGAAATTATTTTTTAATGTTGTACAATTCCTTGTACCTTTTTGTAGAAATCACGCCACTACCACTAGATATAATTTAAAACTTACTGACAAAAAGTACAACACGTTTGTTGGGTTACAAAAAAATACAAACACTAGTGGCTCAGTTAGCCAGCGTCTTAGGGCTATATTTCACCGGGACACCATGGCGGCGCAACCAGTCGCCGGCTAACATAATATGTATACAGCAGCATATAACAAAATGTATACAGCTCTATAGAGAGTTACTCACCTGGTGTCCGTTTGGTTGCGCAAAGCTGCATACATTTTGTTGGTAGCGGCGACTGGTTGCGCCGCCATGGTGTCCCGGTGAAATATAGCCCTTAGGATTGTCACTATCAGTCCGAGGCGTCACTTAGCGCCGTACCAATTCAACAATAGTCTTTAGTCCACACTTGCGGCATGCTTCAGCGGTGCCACATCCGGTGGCGTTATCTACCCCTATCCGGGTCTAGGACACACTTTATGGGAAAATTATCGTTATTTATAGTTGTATAATACTTAGGAGTTAGGTGTGTTGTATAAGTCATATTACTGTTTGGGCATTTTTCTATGAAATTCTACAAAATTTCAAACATGATTTTTAAGGCGAAGTTATACAAGTAGCTTATATTTACCATTCTTATTTAACTATGCAGTTTATTTTAATATGAAAAGGTCCACGAATGCATGTTTACGCAGAAAACATGTCAAGTAAAAGTGCAATATTATAAATTCATATAACTTACATTTTAATCAAAAATAATTTTATCAATGTCAATTTAAATATTGATAGCAGATTTTCCCGCAAATGTATCCCCGACCTAACGCTATCAGCGTGTCGATGACGAATTTGCATATTATCGATACGAACCTGCTTACACTGTGGAATTAGTTCTGTCTCACGCGGTTTTTGTACGCATACTGAATTCTGTTCAAAGAGCATCCTTTCAAAATTCAGTTTTCAATACTTCTTCAACTAGTAACTGAAATATTCCAAACAATTAGTTTTACGTTTCGTGTTCAATGTAAAACATATTGATTTGTAACACCTTAATTGGAATTGGTTTGAATGATTTTCAGTGGTCTACAAGTTTAGCTAGTGGTTGCCAGACTAAGTGTGTTTGATAGTGAATATTTTTTGCATTTGTGGGGAGAATTTGTAAAATTCATTATTCATCAATTCTTTGCCTGAGTCCAGTAAACTTAAAAGAATACAAGTTTTTTTACTTCATGAATGAATTTATTCTATTCTATTCTGTAATGGTTCTTGTAAACGACCAACATTTTTGGGCAATATTGCAGTAAAGTCATTGATAACATCTAAGAACATTCATTATGTTCAAAATCGTTACGAATTAGTATAATCTAGACGTAAATAGAATTTGCGTAGCATTATCGATGTTTCCCGCATCGTTGGTCGTTTCCAAGAGCCTTCAGCCTCTTAGTTCACAATGGGACAACAGTCGCGCGACACGTATCCTTGATTGGTGAAGTACAAGTGACAAAGTTGTCAGACATCGCGACTATCCCTTGTGCATCTGAGGTTTACGTGATACACCGGCACGGATCTTGAACGGAATGTTTTGAAGCGGTTATATTAGCAAAGAATGTATTTTTATGGGTCTCTTTTAAAACTATAGTCACAGAAAATACCGTTTGGAGGAATAAACCAAGTAGAGTGTAGTCAAACGGAATGCACGATCGATCTGTTTTAAATCTACAGCTTGACCGCCAAAAAAAAAACCCAACCAGTAAAGATCAAGTTTGTCCCGAAGAAAAGTTAACTACCTACGGATACTTGTCTCCACAGAATCCGTAAAAAATATACAACTAAAGCACTGATGTTTTGTTGTAATAAGTTATATCAGTTTTCCTCTCGACATTGCCAGAAATAAACCTATTAAATCATTATTTTGGAAGAAATAAACGATGCGCAAAGCGATCCCAGCTCTTTGCTCACGCTCAAGATCCGTACCGCCTATAGTGTGANGACTCGGTTGCTTGCATCCGTCAGCACTTCATATTAATTCATACAAAGCAGTGGGTCGCGGTCGCTGGTCGCGGTCTCGAGTCGCGGTCTCGCGTCGCGGTCGTCTTGATCCGAATGCTACCTTTAGGCCCCTCGCCCACGGCGACTTTTTGTAGTGTCGCATTTGCAACACGCTACAGAAGTAGTGATGTACAAGGCTCGAGGCTTCCGAGTCCTTTTGCCGAGAGCTCAGAGTCGTTTACAGGGCTCGTCTCGTTTGTATGAAGCTCGACGACTCGGAAGTCTTTTTTAGAGTTAGAGCCTTTTTCGGGGCTCGCCTCGTTTGTATGAAGCTTGGAGTCTTTCGCAGAGCTCGAGCCTTTTTGAAAGCCCAGTTAACTTTTGTGTTAAGATCGTGCTATTTAATCAAAGTGCAGAAATTCTGATGCCTACAATAAAATACATATGTATTTGAAAAACGTTTTTCACAAAAGGACACAAATCAAATAATGACTACATACGATTAGAATTATAACTTTTCCTAACAAAATAAAATATAAGTAAATTTTAAGAATCTTATAATAAAAATCAATGTGATCAATCAGGTGATGGTTTTTTTTTTCGAAGGTTTGAGGTCTTTTGAAGGTTCGAGCTCTTTTGAAAGTTCGAGCTCTTTAGAAGGTTCGAGCTCTTTAGAAGGCTCGAGCTCTTTTAAAGCCTCGAGGCATGGCTTAGAGAGCTCGCAGCTCGACTAAGCTCGGGGCACCGAGCCTACCGAGCTCACTGAGTCTTGCCATCCCGCCTCGAGGCTTCAAAAATAGGACTCGACGCCTCGAGTCTTGTACATCACTATACAGAAGTGATGCCAACGCGCTACTAGCTAACGAGCTACAGCATCGTGACTGTATCGATATAAACGCGCGACCGTGTCCGACGACATCGGGAAGGGAAGAATGGAGGGTGGCACGGCAACTCTAGCAATCGTTACTGAATCGCGTTTTAATGAGGGCTATCGTTTTAGCGCTCACCAGTTAGCGCCACTGTAGAGTAAGGTCCTGTCACTTGCTAGTAGCGAAGACAGTGGCGCCAACTGGTGAGCGCTAAAGTGTTAGGAGGACTATCGCATTTGCACTCATCAAGATGGCGCCACTGTAGAGTAAGGTCTTGTCAATCGCCAGGGGTGCCAACTGTTAAGTATAAAAACGATAGCCCTCATTGCGACAGAAGTGCGACAGTATCGCGTTTGCATCACGACTGAATCGTGTTTATGTGTGGGCGAGCGAGGGGACATAGCTAGCGACCGCATTGCTACTGCATCGCTACAAAAAGTCGCCGTGGGCGAGGGGCCTTAGGCCCGGTTTCCACCAAAGCGGATTCATTATTCAGGAAACCAGTAAATCTGGAAGGTTATTCAAAGCACATCTCTGCTCCTTTAGGCCTTAATGAAACCGGGCCTTAGGGTCTCCGCTGCGTAAAGATGGCATCCGCGCGAGGATTCCGCTCCACGTAGCGGAGGTCTTACTTAAATAATAGAAGGTAGAACGAATTCTCCAAACAAATGCAAAAAGGTGCAAGTGCTAACTACAACCGCAATTTATTAAAGTATTGAAAACGAAAACTGAATACCTACATAATTTCATTTGCACAACAGCATAAAAACACAACAAGAGTTATGGTCTAAAAGTGTAGAAATTCGGCTCGACTGTCGAAATTGATGTTACAAGGAATACAACCTACCTATACTCACAAGAAAGTATTTGTAACTATAGTAGTTCTTTACTTTTTGAACCGTGAAAGTACGCCCAGACATAAAATTACTGATCCAAATCAAAATTGGTGTTTATTAGATCGAGTCGAAAAGTAAATTTTATACCTGATTTACAACAAATAAATAATTTTATTTGCCCCTAAAAGTAGCTGAAAAAAATTCCTTGTATCTTACGTAGAAATCACGCCACTACTAGATATAATTTAGAACTTACTGCCAATGAGCACAACACGTTTGTTGGGTTACAAAAAAATACAAACACTAGTGGCTCAGTTAGCCTGCGTCTTACGATTGTCACTATCGGTCCGAGGCGTCACTTAGCGCCCGTACCAATTCAATAGTAGTCTTTACGCCACACTTACGGTAGTATGCTTCTGCGGTGCCACATCCGGTGGCGTTATCTACCCCTATCCGGGTCTAGGACACACTTTTTATGGAAAAATTATCGTTATTTATGGTTGTATGATATTCCATTTTTCTATGAAATAGTAAAAAAAATCTAGTATGATATGTAAGCCAAAATACAGGTAGTATTTAATTCAATTTAGTCAATGATTTGCCTTTCTCATTCAACTACACACAAATGCATGTTGTACGCAGATAATATGTCAATTAAAAGTGCAATATTATAAAGTCATATAACTTATATTTTAATCAAAAATAACTTTATCAATGTCAATTTAAATATTGATAGCAGATTTTTCCGCAAATGTATCCCCGACCTAACGCTATCGGCGTGTCGATGACGAATTTGCATATTATCGATACGAACCTGCTTACACTGTGGAATTAGTTCTGTCTCACACGGTTTTTGTACGCATACGGAATTCTGTTCAAAGAGCATCCTTTCAAAATTCAGTTTTCAATACTTACGGGCTTCTAAAACTAGTAACTGAAATAATAGTCCAAACAATTATCTTTACGTTTCGTGTTCAATGTAAAACATATTGATTTGTAACACCTTAATTGGAATTGGTTTGAATGATTTTCAGTGGTCTACAAGTTTAGCTAGTGGTTGCCAGACTAAGTGTGTTTGACAGTGAATATTTTTTGCATTTGTGGAGAGAATTTGAAAAATTCATTATTCGTCAATTCTTTCCCTGAGTCCAGTAAACTTAAAAGAATACAAGTTTGCTTATTTCATGAATGAATTTATTCTATTCTATTATATTTTGTAAACGACCAACATTTTTGGGCAATATTGCAGTAAAGTCATTGATAACATCTGAGAACATTCATTACGTTCAAAATCGTTACGAATTAGTATAATCTAGACGTAAATAGAATTTGTGTAGCATTATCGATGTTTCCCGCATCGTTGGTTGTTTCCAAGAGCCTTCAGCCTCTTAGTTCACAATGGGACAACAGTCGCGCGACACGTATCCTTGATTGGTGAAGTACAAGTGACAAAGTTGTCAGACATCGCGACTATCCCTTGTGCATCTGAGGTTTACGTGATACACCTGCACGGATCTTGAACGGAATGTTTTGAAGCGGTTATATCAACAAAGAATGTATTTTTATGGGTCTCTTTTAAAACTATAGTCACAGAAAATACCGTTTGGAGGAATAAACCAAGTAGAGTGTAGTCAAACGGAATGCACGATCGATCTGTTTTAAATCTACAGCTTGACCGCCAAAAAAAAACCCAACCAGTAAAGATCAAGTTTGTCCCGAAGAAAAGTTCCTCCTCCACAGAATCCGTAAAAAATATACAACTAAAGCACTGATGTTTTGTTGTAATAAGTTATATCAGTTTTCCTCTCGACATTGCCAGAAATAAACCTATTAAATCATTATTTTGGAAGAAATAAACGATGCGCAAAGCGATCCCAGCTCTTTGCTCACGCTCAAGATCCGTGCGGCCTATAGTAGTGAGTGNGTAGCATTATCGATGTTTCCCGCATCGTTGGTCGTTTCCAAGAGCCTTCAGCCTCTTAGTTCACAATGGGACAACAGTCGCGCGACACGTATCCTTGATTGGTGAAGTACAAGTGACAAAGTTGTCAGACATCGCGACTATCCCTTGTGCATCTGAGGTTTACGTGATACACCGGCACGGATCTTGAACGGAATGTTTTGAAGCGGTTATATTAGCAAAGAATGTATTTTTATGGGTCTCTTTTAAAACTATAGTCACAGAAAATACCGTTTGGAGGAATAAACCAAGTAGAGTGTAGTCAAACGGAATGCACGATCGATCTGTTTTAAATCTACAGCTTGACCGCCAAAAAAAAAACCCAACCAGTAAAGATCAAGTTTGTCCCGAAGAAAAGTTAACTACCTACGGATACTTGTCTCCACAGAATCCGTAAAAAATATACAACTAAAGCACTGATGTTTTGTTGTAATAAGTTATATCAGTTTTCCTCTCGACATTGCCAGAAATAAACCTATTAAATCATTATTTTGGAAGAAATAAACGATGCGCAAAGCGATCCCAGCTCTTTGCTCACGCTCAAGATCCGTACCGCCTATAGTGTGAGTGTGGTAGTGTTGTGACTTGTGATGATGTCGGGCATGTATGTGAGCTTGTCTGGCGCGTGGCAGGAGGTGTCTCTGGCGCCGGCCACGTTCGTGCGGTCGCTGGCGAGGAAGCTCGGCGCTGATGCGGACCTCGAGCCTGCTACCAAGGCTAAGGTGAGCTACATTTATTATTAGATTAAAACATCGTTCGTTTAAACAAATTACGTCCGCTGCTGGACAAAGACCTCCCCTAAGGATTTCCATAACGACCGCGTCTTGCGTTGGTTCTTCCAGCGACCTTCATCAGATCGTCGGTGCACACGTCGTCTGGCCCGTGGTCGCCACTCGAGAACTTTTCTGCCCAACGGCTGTTATTCTACGAGCTATGTCTCCTATCCGCTGGCACTTGATTTTAGCAATTCTGCGGGCATTGTCGATCACTTTGGTTTTCCTGCGGATCTCCTCATTTCTAATTCGATCAAGCAGGGAAACTCCGAGCATAAAAACGAAAAAAAAAATTAACAACTCTATCACATTTAATTTTGCATACTTTTCGCCTTTTTAGTATATTTTAGTGAGTTTTGATAATTAAATAACTGAAGTACACGTAAAAAGTCGTCGCCCTTAAGCCCTATATTGAGCTATGCGTCGTTTAGCCCCAGAGTGCCGAGGAGGGCGAGCTGCTGCGCTCCATCAACCAGGCGCTGCACGACGAGATCGCCGCGCTCAAGGGCAAGCTGCGAGACACCGACACACAACTACAGGAGGCCTTGGTAAGCGACGGACTATGTACAGGATGTTCCAAAATTAAAGCCCGGTCCGTGAGCACGTAGAATTTTGTCCAATGACCCCTAGCTACCCATCCTTATCGCTCGCGCGTAAATCGTTTCTCTGTTCTATGTTGCTATCGCGCTCGCACACTCACTGCGGGTGCGCGTCGCACAGCAATATAATTACGCGCGAGCGATAAGGATGGGTAACTAGGGGTCATTGGACAAAATTCTACGTGCTCACGGACCAGACTATAGCATGTCACACTGACGCCGGAGATAGATGGGTCTAGGATACGGTGAAAAAACCTATACATGTATGTCCATCATAGAAGTTTCGTGAGTTTTGGGATTATCATATTATTATTAGACTTGTCCGATGCGTCATCAGGCATGTCTACCTCCTCACCACCTCCGGTATTGTAGCTTGGCTAATTTTGGGACATCTTGTACATCAAAAGATGACTTATGTAAGTCAATAGAATAGAAGTCTACTACCACCGCGAGTTAAAAGAGTACAACGCCATCTAGCGGTGAATATTTTCCGTTCGTGATGTTACTGAGTGGCGTAAACACGTGATAATTATTGCATTATTAATTAATTTCCCTTTCGTGTAAATAAATATAGCATACATATTGTACTTTACACCATCTTAATTTCAAAGATCTTTTCACGTCAGTATGTATTTGCCGTTTGATCATTCAGGAGAGACAAGAGAAGTTTCAAAATGAATATAAAATATTGTTTATAGAAATCTCAAGCGGCGATAACGGGCAGCCCGGTGCCTACCGGCTCCAGCGGGGACATCAAGACAGATGCAGGTACTTATATCTTTGATTTGATATCAAAATTGTTAAATATTTCTTGTAATTATAATTTTTTCATGAATTTTTTACGGAATATGTTTTTCTGTAGTCTATACAAAGTTACAAACAAATGAAAAAAACCCGGCCAAGTGCATGTCGTGCCGTAGGGTACCGTAGTTGCCCTACGTTACCATAGTATGTTTCAGAAAGGTCGGCAAGGTTTTATGCCCTTACGAGCACGTCAAGATAAATGAGCGGGAGCGGGGTGGCTCAGTAATTGCTTTCGTTCTTGTTGTATTGTTGTTTTATGTGCACTTAGGCCCAGAACAGACGGTGAAACGCAACTGCAACGAAACTGCAACTGCTAGTTACTTTTGAGTTGCATCTAAGTTTCTGCCATAGCGTCCGTTGAGAGAACACACATGACGCGACCAGTTTGAAACTTTCAGTTTCATTCATAAGAATCATCAGAATGTTGCAGTTGCGTTTCACCGTCTGTTCTGGGCCTTATTGTGCCAAAATATGCAGGGTGTTTGGCGGAAGATTAGACAAACTTCGTGGGTGTATATAGTCTGGTCTGCGAGCACGTAAAATTTTGTCCAATGACCCCAAGCTACCCAATTTTATCTTATCGCGACTGTGCGACGGGCGCCCGCAGTGTGTGCGAGCGCGACAGCAGCATATTATTACGCGCGAGCGATAAGATTGGGTGGGTAGCTTGGGGTCATTGGACAAAATTCTACGTGCTCGCAGACCGGGCTTTAGGTAAGGTCATTTTAAGAATACTAGTTCGCCCATTTGACCCTAAGTTTGTCTAACCTACCGCCAAACATCCTGTAGTTTTATCCTCATCTTGCAGGCGCGGCGCGGCGCTGCGACATGTGCGCGAACTACGAGAAGCAGCTGGTGGCCGAGCAGGCCGCCGCCGACGCCGCGCGCGACCGCGCCCACAAGCGCGACACCGCGCTCAAGCTGGTCAGCCTGTAGCTTAGTATTTCTGCTATAGTCTGGTCTGCGAGCTAGTGACCGACCGAATATTCGTTTTCGTTTTCGGCCATTTTCGGCCAAAAAAGGGACATTCGGCCATATTTTCGTTTTCGGCCAAAAACCAGCCGAAGCTTCGGCCAAACCGAATATATGAACGGTGAATAAATGAATGAGACGGTGACGTTTATCGTTCCGATATCTTCGGGAGTGAATCTGGTGCACTCATGGTTCCAATTAGACTTGAACGGACGCGGTATTGTCTCACTCTTTTGAAGATGTGAAGTGAGGTTACGTTGTAGAGGGTGTCCAGCGAGAATTTTCCAAGTTCAAAAATGAATACAAATAAAACCAAAGAGTTTTCATTAAGCTTAATTGTTTCAAAATAGAGTTTAATGCGGATTTGAAATACGCCATGAGTCACTGGTCGGGAGCCTACAGAGCGTTCGCAGATGAGCAATAAGTATTTGAAATGTATTGTCGAATGATCGACGAATGTCTGATACCACAACTGCACCTGCATCCCGGTCAACTACGTAACTATTTCAGCAAGAAGGTGTCTCACCGCACACGGAGAGTACCTCGATGGAGACACTGAGGACTTTTTTTTTTCAAATAAATGATCAGCAAGTACAGGGACATGTACCCTAGCCGCCTCGGTCACCAGATCTCACATCATGCGACTTTTTCTTGTGGGGATATCTCAAGTCAAAAGTTTACAGCAAACAATCATTAAATAATTCAGGTTCTGTTAGAAAATATCCGCCGTGAAGTTGCAGGAAAATTATTAGCGCGATTTGCTCTCGCATAGTTGCGAATGTAAGTGTCCGGCTGTGAGAGTGCCTATTAGTAAAACGGGCATCATTTAAAAGACATTGCCTATAAAAAATTAAATCCGCATTGTTAAACTCCAGTTTGCATTAGTAATAAATAATAAAAAATCATTAATTTATTTGTATTCATTTTTGAAGTTCAAAAATTCCCACTGGACCACACTGGACACACCCTTTATTTCTTCTTCACTTCCCAATATTTTAATATACACCGGAAATAATATTCTACTAAGAATTCATAATAATTTTTATGTGTTTTCATGCCAGTTTTTTTAATCAATTCTTATCAAAATCAACTGTCAAATGTCAAATGTCATTATGGTTTTGGTCAAAACATTAACGGTTTTCAAAGATTTTACATAATTTCAGATTGAAATTTGAGAGTTGAAGGTCATTTTCGTTTTCGTTTTCGGCCGAAAATGAGACTGCAGCCGAAGCTTCGTTTTCGTTTCCGTTTTCGGCTGAAAATTCATATTCGGTCGGACACTACTGCGAGCACGTAGAATTTTGTCCAATGACCCCAAGCTACCCATCCTTATCGCTCGCGCGTAATTATGTTGCTGTCGAGCTCGCACACACACTGCGGGCGCCCGTCGCACAGTCGCGACAGCAATATAATCACGCGCGAGCGATAAGGATGGGTAGCTTGGGGTCATTCGACAAAATTCTACGTGCTCACGGACCAGGCCTTAGATAATCTAATTCAAATTATTCAAATCCCTGCCATTTCGCTGGAAGGTCACGTTCAAAGTTGCTGGTTCCTTTCAGAGCGAGCAGAGTTCCTTTTTCGTATTTGTCGGGAAAATCGTCAGTGTGAAAAGGCTCATGCAACGTACAAAAAATTTGAATATCCCAACATATTTATTTATCGTTCCCTACCATTATAGCTTCCACTGTTAAAAAAAAGCATCACAAGAAACTCAAGGGTATCGCTCCAGTTACAGTACAGTCGCTCCCGACTACAGTTCAAGAGAATCCAGCCGCGCTAAAAATCGCTCGCTTCAATCGCCAGGCAACCGAGGAGCTAGAAGGCGTGCGCTCGCTACACGACGAGACAGTGCGGGCGTGGCACGCCGAGCGCGCCGCGGCCGCGTCCACGCTGCAAGCGCTGCAAGCCGCCGTGGGAGAGGCGCAGGCCACGCTGCTGGAGCGCGCTGCAAGCGCTCGCGACGCCGAGAGCCGCGCGCTACACGCCGTCACCACGCTCACGGTACACCGCGAGACGCTGCAGAAGAAGCTGGACAGGTGAGGCGTAATTTCCTAAAAAAAGTTTATTAGTCCGTCAATTTCAATATAAAAAAAAATTGGACACGTATTGTACACACCCCAGGTCCAGTCGAGGGAATGCTAGGCTAAATAAAAGCCAACTTCGCAAATAACGGTATATTGTTCCAAAGATAGTTGATTTCATACAAACAGATTTTACTATACAGTGTGAGTCACGTTAAAGTGTACATATGAAAATAGATGAAACTAGACCTATTTTTATCGACAAAAAAGAGGTCAAAAAAATTTTGAGATTTTTTTTTAATTTTTTATAGATTTTTTTTTCTTCCAATTACTTATTGTAAAGAAAACGTAATAACTTTTAAACTAAGCGGTATATCCTGATAAAATAAAAACAGTAATAATGCTAAATAACAGGCAATACTAAAACAATACATAAAATACATAAAAAAGGCCAACAAATAATAAAAAATGATACTTTTTTAAAAAAATCAGGTAGTTTTACGAACTTTGTTCTTGTAAACACTTGTACACGTATATTTTTCATTGTCAATCAAACAAATAATTACAAAGTTAGGGTCCGTTGAAGTTCCGCGCGACCTCACAAAGTGCTGCACTTTAAAACACTCATTGACGTCACCAGCCTCTTCTTTTGAACTTAGGCGCGCTTTATCTCTTTAAATTTTCATTAGTTTGAAAAAGTGAAAAATACGTGTCGAGTATTTTTTGATAAGTTAACTGACGGACTAATTAAACTTGCTTTTTTACCCAGGAAACATCCCTATTGTAGATAGTGGAGTACCACCATCATCTGCCCAAATGAATTTATCCTACGGCGGACGAAACCAAATAAACTTTTTACAGCATCCAACTCAGAAGGCACTGATTTAGATATTAAGCTGCCTTTTAAGCTAGAGAAGCTCGACTTGAGATCAGGGCCCCGATTGCGTTAAGNCGCGGTTGAGACCGCGGGCAAAAACTAGTATTTGATACTCCTAGATAAGCGGATGAAGAATTTTTTCAGTATCCTCATAGTCTAATGTATTGAGGTACTTTATGACCAGTTTTTTGCAGCTAGACTTGGGGAGCGGATAAATGTCAAGTTTACCGTTTATTTTGTTGTATAAGTAAGGGCCGAGGAAGCAGAAGAATTTATGTGAGAAGGAGGTATTTAGCTTCGAAGGTGGACAAACTTTATCTTTTCGCCGCTTACCCTTTAGTAGCTCGGGGTCATACTCTGTCTGGGTGTGTTTTTTTAAGATGATATTGAGAATGAAAGTTTTCCTAACTGTGAGTACGTTCCAGTTCTTGTAAAGTTCTACGGTAGGATAACGGAAGGGTAACCCAGCTGCCACCTTAAGAAGGGCACGTTGAGCCCTTTCGAGACCCAATATATGAGACTTGGCAGCACCACCCCATGCTGAGACACAGTATTCTAATAAAGAATGTCCTAGTGCACAATAAACTGCCCTTATAACACCTCGGCTAGCCACGTTTTTTAAAGTTTTGAAGACGTAAATAAGCTTACGTAGCCTTGAAGTAAGGGTGTCAATATGAGACTTAAAGGCAAGAGTTTGGTCTATTATGACTCCGAGGTATCTCATGGACTCCGTACGCTGTACCACTGGGCAGAGACACTGCGCTACTGGAGGTTGTGGGCTGCACCCATGGGCTGTAATTGAGAATACTTGCGAAGGAAGAAGGCTGGATCTGAACGCAAATGCTACATATTTCGTCTTAGTGACATTCAGTGTGAGTAGGTTGTGCCTCAGCCAATTATTTACCCCGTCAAATCCCATTTGAGCGTTATTAAAGGTGTCATCCCAGGAGTCTCCGCTGAAAAATAGGGCTGTGTCGTCAGCAAAAGTAAAGACACTACCCCCGTTGAGTTGATATTGGCATAGGTCATTAATATACACTAGAAACAGCCCTTTCAGACCCACGACGAAACTAAACAAGGTAGTAATAAAAAAACTCGATATTCATTATCTTTGGGGATCAGAGAAAATGAAAATTGAACATTTTCAGTGGTACTATGTTGTTTTCATGGTTTTTCAGGGGGCGTACAATTGTATCATCGTGGGCCCAACTCATTCAAAGTCCCGATACAAAAAAAATTGATTCGAGGGCATTTAATGCAATTCATAGTCCCATGAACCCCAAAGATTATTTTGATTTCATTAGATCTACATTGCGATTTCATTTGCTGGCCTTTTTCGGCCATTTAATATTGCTCAGCAGCGATAGCAAACATTACAAACAGATCGGCATTAAAATAAATTTCTAAGTACTCCGCTAATGATTTGGGCTGTTCATTACTTTAATTATCTTTTCCCCGCGGACTCTGTACAGTGCAGACGTGTTGCGGACGCTCCGTACACAAAATTTAGTGAAAGTCAAGGACGAATTGAAGAGCGACAGAGAGCAACGTCATTCCAAGAAGAAGACAAATACATTGTGAAGACAAATACAAATACATGTGCGTAAGCGCATCCCACTACTCAACACGCATGCTCCGCCCGATCACTCCGGAAGCCGCGCCTACGCAAGCCCCGCCCACCGAAATTGATCGATTGCCGTCGGCTCATTTAGGCCTACAATCCGCACAGATGTCTGTTCAACGCTCGCCGCCCGGCACTCAGAGCCTCTTAAGGCGATAGGTGAGGCAAAACTGCAAAATAGACCTCTCTTTGAATCCCTACTCCTCCTAAATGGATGATCCAAACAAGAAAAAAAAATATGTGTGAGATGTACAATATCTTAAACTAAAAAATTGTTGTTCGTTTTTTTTGTTACAACTATTAGTTTTGACAGAAAAAATTCTTAACTTTCTTCTAATTTCACCAAAGAAATTTCCTACTACTCCTAAACGGCTGAAGCGATTTAAATGATTCTTTCACCAAATGATAGAAAATTTAATTACCTAAAAAA